TGACTGGCTGCTTCGAAAATTCCCCATCATCTGCTTATCCTAGCTTCACCATATGGTACTTTGTTATCCACTAATTTTATTCCTTCTGAATGTTGATGAAAGCCTTCCATGGTTGTTGCTTTCACATTGCCAGTGTAGGGAAAGTCGATATACTGTCAGTAGAGTTGTGCTGGATTTGATAAAGGAGCTTCTCTTGTGAGTTTGACAGCTTTTTAATTTAGCTTTATTCCTTCATGGCTTGGCACATACATCCAAGTGATGGTCTTATAGCGCAGTTGCTTTACTTTCTGCCACCCATATGGGGGACTAACCATTTTGATTTTTATGCAGTACTGCTTGCAAATAAGTTACAGATATGATGATGGTGGCACTGTTTATTCGTAGTTCATTGCTTTCAACAACCCAGGGGAGACCTTGCTTTATGATTTCTAGATTTATCTTTGCGCTGCTTGTGGGAAGGATGAATGCTCCACCAGCCTTATGCAGAATGTTGTTGCACCACAAGGTGATGAATGCCCAACCAGTTCTCTCACTGTTTGTGGTTTAGGAACCATCTGTGGCTATGATGCCTGTCCATCATGACCTTTAAATAATTGCTTAAAGGTTTTTTGTGTGCTTCACCCTCTGACCAAATTTTACACTTGCTGTATAGGTTCATTTCCACACATCCCAATGGTGTCACATGTTTATTCCATATGAGGACATCTGAGACCTGGTGATGATCGATTATCTCCATGATGGCTGTATAGAGACCGACTACTCATGGCTGTTTCCAGGGGTGCCTTTTAGCCAATCTAAGGAGTCCTGATTTCAAATAAGCCAATATAAATGTAATTCTGACAAAACATGATTTATTCGTCTTTGTCATTACTTCTCTTTTCGTCTAATTCAAAAACTTCATCAGCTAACTATAGAGGACTACATCATCATCAACATTATTTTCCCACATGAATGTTTCTGTTTCTTTATTCTGGGAAGAAAAGTCATGCAATGGCAGTTCATCCACTAAGTTTTGAAAATGTATAGACTAACCAAGTTTCACTGGTAACCCACCAGACATTGCCAATGACCATGGCAAAGGACCAAAAGGGAAGAAAAGAATCTTTTGAAAATCAAAGTTATTTTATTCTGACAACATCAAAAGCTGGTCAGGTTTATGTTTCTTTTTACTCTGATGTGAGCAATCATCTGTTACAAGGATTTCAACCTAGATGATTTTTGCAGACTACTAAGTTAATTTAGGGACTGCCTTCTCAAAGGGTCATGTAAAGCTACCATTTTGTCTGCAAGCCTTTTCTGAAAAAAATCCATAAATAACTTTTTCTGACAGATCATTAGCGATGGAAACAGGTGCTTTTATGCTAGATGATAGATAAATCTCATTCTTTTCAATATCGAATGAGTTTATGAAATTTGCAAACGATTGTCACACTTTGTGGACATTTGCGGGGTTTTCTTTGGTCTCAGATCTTTGTGAGATGTCTCATTAGATTCCACCATTCCCACTAGTTTAAGGGAAGCTGTTACGTGGCTGGGTCTTGTGTGTCTTGTTATACATCTTTGATAGCATGGAAGACAAATTTTGCTAAAGGAGATAATTCATCGCTTGACTTGGCATGTTATTTTACTCTTTATTAAATAGTAATGCCAACTGCATTTCTTGAAGCTGGAACTGAATCCCTAAAAACACGAAACCCCTTATTTCGTAACAATGATTGTGTTCTAGATGAAATGTGGACAAATTAAGCAAAAAAGACTCTTTGTAAACTATTTTGAATAAACAGCCTTTGTTAAGACCTTCAATTATCAGCCCTTCATAATTCTTCTTCAAATCCACAATTAAAGACCTGAGTTGGTATGCTTTTCAAATGAATGAAACAAAAGTATTTCAAGGGCTTCTGGTATCAACTTATGCGCATATATTAATCATATTAAATTTTACATTACGTATGACACACATTCTCTCTTGCTACGATTTACCTTTTCGAAATTTCTTGGTTTGCTCCAAACTATATGGTTTATGGTTAGACATTTTTTTTAAAGCGAGTGTTGGTTAGACTCATCGAATACAAAGCTCGGGATTCAATGAACGTTGGGGAACATTTCTCATCTCTTAATCTTTAATTTTATAAAATCCTATGTTGGCAAATTTCATGAAAGTTTTTAATAAGTGTATATATACAGATGAAAAGAAATGTAAATCAATAGCTAACTAATAATTACATGTATAAATATAAATCCATCTTGTAATTGTTTATAGAATCTTCAATTTAGCATTATGACCTGGAAATAATAATTAACAATGTTTTATGCTGAAGTAATTTTGAATTTTTAAATTTGTAAAGAATTTTACATGAATGATTTATAATGTGAACTCACACAAATGGTACTATTCACCATAGAAATCAGCTTTAGAAGAAATTTATTTAAAAATAATCAGCATTTTTTATATATTTACATTTGGGGTAGGGGTAGGTTTTTGCTATTTTACATATGCCGGAAACGACAAATTAACGTACGTAAGCTTAAGAACATTCTATAAGAAACTTATCTTTATGATGAAACCAATTTTGAATTCATATGACATGTTATAAACTTATTTTATGTGTAATTAATGTTTTGGAAATAAATCTTAACAATTTCAGTATTCCAAAAATACGTTAAAATACAATACGTAATGTTAGAAAAATACACTACAAAATCTTAAAACTGAAGTAAAAAATGACAAACAAGTAAATTTTTTCCTTTTATATCATAAACGTTTAGAAAAAGTGGTGCTATAAAATCCCCTTAGGGAAGGCAGTTTTTTATTACTTGTGCTATAAAATCCCCCAAGAGAAGGCAGCTTTCGCTTTCTGGCCCATTTTATTACCTGCAATGTTTGGAAAACAAAGACTTAAAATATTGAATTGAGAAAACTAATGGAAATTCCATGTTGCAGCTAAAGTTATGAATTGTAAAGAAAATTATATTTCCAATCAGTCCACACAAAATACAGATCTTTCATGAATAATGAATGTTGTCATTTTATACAGGTTATCCACAAACCACCCATTTCCCACACGACATTACCAACTAACTTGCTCAATCATTTGGTTATTCAAAATATTGAAACATAACATGTGATTTCTTTTATATACTTATGAGAAATGGCGGGACAATGACATTTTTAGAATTAGGAGGAACATCGAAGACCTTTTTTGTCTGCTTGACTTAAGAAATCTCATTAATTCTATTGAATATTTTTGACAAGAAACAAATTTGCTGGAGTTACTTAAAAACTTTTACCATCGATTTCATTTGGTTTTTGTTTTGTACTCAGCTAATTCCTGTTTATTTGTATCGTTTTTTTTAAAGATCTCTAACGAATAGTACAATGAAAATGAAACAAAAAAAAAAAAACCGGACTAATATTAATACAACATTTCTTGTCACTCTCGTTTCTTTCGTGAAATTATACTAAATAAGTTATTACTTGTCAATCGGATGTTGTAGACAATTCAGGATAATATTCTCGTCTTAATGGATATTGTGTATTGTGCTGGTGTTTAACCTTGAAACGCTTAACAGACATTAGTTAAATTTATCAAACTGGCAATCAACTGTGCTTAGTAATCATTCTTCTACTCCACATGCCAAAGCAGTCACTATCATTGTTTCAATAGCCACATTCCAGCGATGAGACTATTTTAAGATTAACACTGAGCGTAAAAACCGCACGCTACAGCAATACACGAACGTGTGCAAACATTTTACTGTGACGTCAACGACAAGCAAGACATTATATGACATAGCAGTTGGTCCATAAGGATGTTGATCAGCAGGTTAAACGCATCCATTTTTTTTCTTTTTAATCCCATCTCTTTACTGCTGTCAAGTGTAAAAAACAAAATGGCTAAAACAAACAATATCTATAAAAAAATTATCCTGGTGTGATTGCATTATAAGCATACGGATGACGAACCAAAAGACGTCTGAATTCTGATGCTGTCTTTATTTGCGCTTTTTGGCTGATGCTCACTGGTAAATCTGCAGGTTTATGACGCTAAAAATTGCGTTTCGATACCCATGATGTGCAGAGCACAGAAAGCCCATATATAGCTTTGAGCTTATCTCGAAAGAAAGAGGATAAATAGAAAAATAATTATAAAATATATGCCATATCTGTTTTTTTATACAACTCTACATCAAAAATTATATAAACAAGGCTTGTGTTTGCATAGTTCCCCAGTAAGTAAGCTAATCATTAAACCTCTAGCTATCGGACGAGCCCTTAATGGATTTCACTAAGACTATTCTAAACATTCGTGGAGAACCTCCTTTAGAAAAACAATTAAATATATCAAAGAGAATTAAACTTAACAGTACCAATTATATAAAAAATTAATAGTGATTATTTTCTTAGTTAAAGTAAGCTGTTTTTTGTTATTTTTAAGAAACATTTGCTCGGAAATTAAAATATGATATGAAAAACATTAGTACTTTAAGATTCACAAACTTGTGTGTTATGAGTTAATTTTCGAAGTTTGACCAATTTCCAGTCCATTACTAGGCAAAAGCTTGCAATAAACGGTTTCGTCTTATGTTATTTTGTTTTTATATACTTGGAAATTAATAAGAATTATATTGGTGCATTTTTCAGATGTAACCCTCACTATCCTTTCCGAGTAATTTCCGTTTCATTCAAATAACAATTATTTCCACACGAATGAAAACATTGAAAGGCATATTAAAGCTTGAAATATAGTGTATAAGTAATTTGAAAATTATTCGATCACATGGCTCGAATCTTTTTTTGAATGCATATTTTGGAATGGAGCTCAAGGTCGTTTGAGGTTCAAGTTTTCAACAGAAGAAGGAGCTAAGTGAAGACATCTTATCCCGAGTAGCAGGGCTATTTTTATTCATATCGAATCTAATGTTTGGAGCATGATCTTAATGGTTTTGTACGTGTGTTTGCTCCCTTAGGAGTCACCTTCTAAAGAGCGACAAGTTTGGGAGTATTATTGACAGAGACGCTCGATGTTTCTTGTATAGGTTTTAAAAAGATTACTAACAAACGATTTTATTTGCAGTACACCACAGTAATGTATAACACATCATGAGCCAAGGAATAATGAACATAACTCTAACTCGGGATGGCCCATTTATGCCTTGGGGATTTCGTCTCCAAGGGGGATATGACATGGGCCAACCCCTGATCATCCAAAGGGTAGGAAGTGCTAGTTGATTTTGTAGATTTCTCCTTCTATTTGGTTATATAATATTTATTTGCTAAACTTCGTATTTGTTTGATTTCATTTTGCTTCATATATAAACAATCCCAAGTGTCTCTTGGCATAAATCTAAATTTTTTAATCTCAAAGTAAAAGTGAGTTGAAAACATCCAAGCTGAGAGGATGGAAGTTTATGTTTCTTAAAGCAGAATAGTTTCTGAATTGAATGATCGCACAAGTTTTCTATATACATATATATATGTATGTGTGTTTAAAATTATGAGTATAACTTACAAAATCAAGTACATATGCTAACCGTTTTCATGCGATTCTTTTGATAAAGTATAAATTATAATTTTTCACTATCGGAGTATTTTGATTAATTATGTAATTATGGTCAATAATTACGGACATATCCCTACTATCTGTACGTCCAAGACTTTTTTTACAATAATATCTTACAGAGCACCGAAGAACAAAAACAATATTTATGTGATTAGAAAAATAAAGTAAAATATATAGAATCTTGTTACCTGAGCTATGTATTATTTCTAAGAACCCATGAGCGAAAGAAAAGGATAATATGTTATAATATGTAAACAACACTACATCTGCCATTTCCCAGTGCCAACGAGGCTTTTAGACTGATACCAGTGCTCATCAGGCCGATTGGAATACAACAGACATAGTAGTGGTCTAGGCGCTATATATATATAATCAATTTTCATGAACAACAACTGTTACAGTGTGAACCAAATTAAGCAAGTGAATTTTAATTATTATCATTTTTGATATAAATAATTTAAAAATTAGATTTTTAGGTTCAGAATGAACATCACATTATTTATTTTATTTTAAATTTTAACTCTTCGTTTACTGTTTCTCAAAATTGTTAGGTCTTATTCAGACTTGTGTCAGTAAAAATCTAGGTATATGTAAAATAAAGTAATCCATCTAATTTTAACACTTTTTTACGAACTACATTTGGTACTTATTTCTTCTTTAAGCCATTACCATAATCCATAACCAACATAATTTTAGGTAAAGAAATAAAAACTTTGGCTTCATATTCTTTGTGAAAGAATAAGTTAGAAGATGGGTGGGCTTGGTGTTTGAATGCCTTAATGCTTTAACACCTACTATTTTCCCGTAATTATCACAGAAAGCAGTAGCTTTTACTAGGACATTAACTTTATTCACAAACTGTATATAAGTTCAAATGGTCATCATCTGAGTAAACTGGCATTATATAATAAAATTTATTATTGCTTTCAATGATGGACATTAACTTTCGAATTACTCGTCAATGAGAAATATACTTTAATACCAAATATGGAGTGGGTAAATGTAAGGTGTGCTTAGGTCTAAGGATGTAACCCTGTGATAACTTCAGCCACACTAATTTCCCTTTCAGTATATCGGGTATGTTCTGCAGAATAACGGAGGTTTTAGCAGAAAAAGTTATGCAGAGTTAAACTAAATTCTTCTGCTTTTGACTAAATTTCGTAAAGAAAGACATTAGAAAAAATATATAACAGAGTGAAACAATCCTTCTTGAATACAAAACATAGTAAAAATAACGTATACACAAAGGACAACACCTTTACTATAGTATAAAATTTGTAAAGAACCCGTTGAAAATCTTTGAAATTCTTTTGTAAAAATATGTTACAGACTAAAAAACATAACATTATATACCCAGCTTTACAATGCTAGTTTTCTCAGGGCGAGTCCACTACCTACGTTACTGTTTGACATTAGAATCGGAAAATAAGGAGTATATAATCTCAAGGTATAGTGGAAAATATTGTTTTCTACTTTTACATAGAATATTCTGCTTTGCGAAAATATTTCCACCAGCGAGCACATGTGACATCATAGGTGAATTATCCAGAACAACAAGTAACGAGGGCGAAAGGAACTTAGCTACTTCCTTGACCAATGTTCTACATTGAACTACATGCAATTATATACAGGAAAGTTTTAAAGATAATTCAGATGAGTTTGAGAGTTAAATAAAGAGGTTATAAATCACCTAGTATGCTCTAAGATTGTGTAAGACCATTGAAGTTATTAGTTTGAGAAAGTTCCTTGTGATACAACATAAAAAAGCCGAACTGAACACCAATTTAAAATTACTTCACTGGATCACGGTTTGGGCAGTAGACCTTTGTCTGGCCTGAAGCTGTATTACAATAGGCTTTTCAAAAAAATTAAAAATCGACACAATGGAAGTGCTGTCAAACATATAAGAGATATGATGGAATCGTGACACTATTGAATTGACATTTATATGGCTAAGTAAAATATAACAGATTGACTTCAAGAAACATGCATTGAATCTTATTATACTATAATTTGTTCCAAATCTTCTCTTTCGATGAATTTGTAAACAATACTTTTTCTGGAAACACGTTTTAGACCTTTATCAAGAACAAATAGGTCATAAAGTATAATGACAACAAATTAAAATTTTGGTCATGGTAACGTTCGGTTGAAGTATGATATTAGATAATTTTCTTATCAGTTTCTAGTTTTATAAGTTGTGTTGCTTTAACAAGACTTATGAATGCATGGTTTAACTCATGAACTTACTGGGAAGTGACAGAAGCAGTGTTCTTCTAAAGCTTCTGCTATTATATTTTACTAATATCGTTTTATTGTATTATGGTTTTAGTAGATGCATGATTTTTGTTGTATTATCTTTTTATTTAATACGTGAACTTATCAGTTTCATTTACTCTTTATTGAACTTCTTCACAGTGCATGTTTAATGTATTTAGTCACACCAGTATCACTTCAACAATTGGAGCTTATCACTTATTGAAGATCACACTTATGGGCGAGTGTCTATCAGCATTTAAACGTTAATTATGAAAAACCCACCATATCACAGTTTACGTCCAGATGAAGAGCTATTGCCCGAAACGTCGCCTAATACACCATTTTTAATTTGTGGAGTAAATTTACATTTATCTTCTTAAGTTCAACCTTAAGGATTTTAAAAGAACTTAGCATCTACATAGGTATTAACACAATTGCCTCCCAGTGACTCAGCGGCAAGTCTGCAAGCTTACAACACTACAAATCTGGTTTTGATATCCGTGGTGGGCACAGCACAGATAGTCCATTACTTGAGAAAAAAGTAATTTAGTTATTTCAGCACAATACAATGTTTCTCTCTTTCACACTAGAAAATATCTGATTTTTATATTTAAACACCAGGAGAACAATAGTCCAAGAAGAAGAAGATGAAAACATTTCAACAGTTTTACAAGAAATACCAACAAACTTTGGGGAACATAGCGAAAAGTATGCATGTTGTTACTAAGGTTGATAGAACTTAATTTATGTATGCCACTGTATTATCGCTATTGAGGTAAAAATCATAAGTTATTTTGTGGATTAGCTTCTCATAAACTGAAAGCTCCCTTCTTTTTTGCATATCCACCATTTGGTGCTACCGGTTTTAATGCTTATTTCTTAAAGGGGTTTTCAACTATACGTTTCCCTCTAGTGGCACAACGGTATGTCCGCTGACGTGCAACGCTAGAAACCGGGTTTTGATACCTGTGATGGGCAGAGCACAGAGAGCCCATTGTGTAGCTTTACAAACAAACAAGCAAACGTTTCACGATAGATTGATCTTAACTGAAAATTTCAACCTGAACTACATCTTGTGTTCGCGTGGATTAAACAATCACGTCCAAGTCTCCTAGAGTTCAAGTATAGCCGTCCTAATTTTGAACTACTGATTTTGAAGAAGGTCAACCGATCAGCAATACTTATAACACACCCAAAACTGAATCTGTGGAGCGCGTCAGTGACACGTCTCGCGCCTTGGACCCTTTGAATTTTAGTCCGGCACGCAAATCACTAGATCACGTCTGACCCTGAAATTAATTCAGGAATTGCTGTAATAATAGCTTTACGATACAAAGGGATTCTGAGATAGAAATTTCGCAACGAGCGATACCTTGTAACAACTAATTTATAGCATTCAGTTCTAATGAGAAAGATAATTTCTGAAAATTAATTTGATTTTATTCCTTTATGTTTCTATCTCCATTAGTGAATTACAGAAACATGTAGCTGTGGTTCATTAATAATTTTTGAAATTTAAGTTCAACTTGTAGCATAAAATATCCGGTAATAAAGTTATCTTATGTTATTACATTCTATGATTTGATGCTAAACAGGTTAGAAAGGGTTTTTATTCATACAGACAGGAAACGACAACCAGACTCCACGAGATTATTTTTGGGAACACTTAGACTTCCGGTTCTTTGCTGTAGCTGTTTTCAACTTCAGACAGATGGCCAAATAGCGTTTGTGTAATATGAACTGCTGAGCGTTTGGCTTCGAGTTATTTATTAAGACCTAAAGAATTTCATAAGGTAAAGGTTTCCAAGAAGATAATGTCATGTTCCTGTTGCTTGTCTT